AGATTCCATCTATAGAATGATGTCAGGCTAAATAATGATCAAGTTTGATTCATATTTATAACTTTTTTCAATGAATATCCATGAGTAATGATCTATAACATATTTGCATTTATAATCAAACCAATATAAATCTATATTTACTTCAACACTAAAGATTGTAATTTTTGCGTTTAATTTATATTTTTAATTTTTTTAAAATGAGTTTCTAAACATATATTTAATTAGAATTGAGATAATCTTGACCTAGAAATGGAAAGACGAGGGCAGCTTAAAGAATACAAATATTAGCCTCAATCTGGCCTAAACTCGTTAATAGTTGAATTACAATAATAATTAAATTCTGAAGGTATAGCTAGTATATGTGTATATTTATAATAGTAGTATGATTTGATTCACAAATTCTTTGATTCTTCATGGCAATTTTTATATATTAAGTTAAAGTGTGTTTGATATATTATTTATTTGGAGAAAAAGAATATGAGCACGATAAGAGAGGGTTTTCTAAGTTCAAGATGGGATATTTAGAACAGGAGTGGAATCTATTTTCCATCTCCTCCAAAGAAACAAGCCTATTTAAACCAATTGTTAACTTCCACTAAGCCTATTTATCATGCTTCTATTTTTTTTTTGTTCCACATTTACGATAATTTATTAAGATCATGCATAATAATCGTGATGATGGCGATTATTTTATCAACTAAGTTATGGACTAAAATTAATTAATGGATTGAACTGATTTTCAGCTAATTAACCACCTCAACAACATCCTTAACTTCAAAGAAATAAATCTTCAGAAATAATAGTGATACGATTAACATGCAGTCTAACTCTTGATGTTCTTTTTTCACCATTAGTTAGCAAGCAACCCGTTAATTAAACTTAAATTTTATCCTTAAAATATCTGGGCTAGTTATGCAATTGTTTCTTATCTTTTCGTATCTTCATTCTCCTTCTACATTTAAATATTCTGAACCCAACCATTTGTAATCCATCCCAATTTGAAAAAAATCACCTTTAAGCCATCATGTGAACTGTTTAAACAAATTGCCTTGCCAATATACAATCATGCACGTACACTTGCTACCCACAAAAGATTAGGTAGGTTAAATCTTATCTCATCCTACTTTGTTCATCTCCCTTCGTACTCACAATAAAACTTGATGAAGATTCAAATTTGAGGAAGCAACCATGTGATCGAAAATGCTTAGTCTGGCATGGGTCTCATTGTCTTGTGTATATATATATATATATGAGGCACCAAGAACTCTTTTGTGCAAATGAAATTATTCTATCCATCATGAGTTTGTTTTGAATTTGAAAAACCAGAACTCTCTACATATCTTGGAAGAGATTCCACTCGAGTGATATGAACAATGAGGTATCATATGGCTCTTTCTCACTTTTGTGGTTGAAAATCATGCATTCTATACAAGTAGATAAACTGTCAAAAGTCTCATTAACTTGATCTTTGAAAGTGTTTATTGGATCCTTACAAATAGTAGTGCGATTGTTACTTTATATAAGACGAGTGGAAAAGGCTAAAAATGAACAAGATAATCTCAACTTAATGTAAATCATTGCATCTATATAAATAATTTTTGTTATATAATGACAAATCACTGAATAATTAAGGATATTCAATTACAAACATTTACGACTGTTATATATTAAGAGTCAAACTAAGTATCGCAACCAGCTGACCAGATCAATTCTATGGCAGTAACTATTTTTCAAAGCGATGTTAAGAATGTCATTGTTAGGAGAGAAAAAAAATGGTGTAAGGAGGATTAATATAAAAAATATATATTAAAAGGGCATATAGCATTATTCTTAAAAATATAAATTAACCATCTCTCGTAATATCAAGATTCTCTCTTCTAACTTATTGTCTATCAGGATAAGCAAAAGTAACATTATTTTTACATCACTTTGATCATAATTTTTACATTAAAGAATAAGATAGAGAATCATTAGAATATTTTACCAGCTGTCAACATGGGTTTGAGAGAATCATTAGAAAATTTAGAGAACTCCAAATTTAGTAATCCCAAAACATTTTCAAGTCTCTATTTTTTTTAAGAAAGAGCCAATTATTGAATTAATGAACATAAAAACATATTGACGTAACAAGACAAATGAAATGTATGCTTCCCTCTCTTTATAAGATGGGATTCATAACCCCCCCCCCCTCCCCCTACAAAAATAAAATAAAATCGAAATAAGCTCCCAATTTGTCTCATATTTTAGCATTTCAATTGATAGCAAAAACTAAAATAGCTATGCGCCTATCCCAAAAATTTGTCGTTTAATAGAACTGTGATATTTAACAAAATTGTGTTAGAAGTGATGATCAAAGTTTACTATGGAAATTTTGTTGTAGGCTTGGGGGCAATATCTAACCAAGTAAAACATTGAAAGTGAAACAAGGAAAGATTCTTAAAATTTTGGAATGTCCTTACCCATTTCTTTCTCTATGATGTGTATAATACTTTTTTATGATGGGGTACTGATTCACCCAGCAACATGGAAACAATCCCAACATTGTCTCCCAATTGGGACCATATCATCTCTCCCATGTGAACCATGAATTAGCCACATGTTCCTCTTCTGCATTCTCCAGATCAGGATCACTTCTCTCTGTACAAACCAACCGGTAAGAGGCCCTTCCTCATATCTTGAATGTGTGATTTTTGGGCCCCAAAACGTAGTAAGGATATGCATTTTGTGTGCCACTACTATTGAAGCAACTTTACACTAAACAAAGGGAAATTGAATGATGGGCGTCCACTTTATTAGAACAAGTCATTGCCTATCCTAAACAATCCCCACATGCATGTCCTTCCATGTGATTTTAGACACGTTTGGGTCCCTGCTCCTAATTATGTCCATAAAAAGGTTCATGTGTTTGCCTCAAGCCAAATTACCTTCATACAATGATTTTCCCTTTAGTAAAAAGAATCTTCATCTTATCCTTTTCTTTTTCTTTCTTTACATTTAAATTAATTAGTATATCATCTGTACGTTAAGTGTTAAATTAAATTGAAAATTATTAAAAAATATAAAATTGTAAAAATTATAATACTTTAAAATAACAAAAAAAAGTGTCCTTACTAAACAAATTTAAAGAAATTTATAACATAAAAACATATTTTGTTAAAACGTTATATATTTATAAATAGCTATAAATTATTTTGAAGGTAAAGTGCACGAGTATTATCAGTTACAGCACACAATTATTATAAAAATATATATAGTTACAAAAATTAAACGCTTTATTACTCTTTTCAATATATTTTTGTGTGTGTTTTATACAGGAATTCAAAAAATTGATATTTTAAATTTTATAAATAGTTATGATTAAACTTTATATTTTACTCTTTATTTATTATATCATATCATGTTTCGTGAGTTTTTCATTTTAGGTTTTTGCCCCATTTCATTTGAATAAAGGGAATAATGTATGCTCCTCTTTTTTTTCACACTCTCTTAACTTCTTTTATGATATTTTCTTCACAAAATTTATGATAATAAAGAAAAGAATCTAAAAAGCAATGATTCCAAAGAAAAAACCCTTTATCTTACCCAAGTTAAGGTTCATAAATTTTTATGGGTCTGTGACTGAAACTAATTTAAAGTTATAGGAAGCTAATTTGATTGTGCAGAGATGGAGGTTTGCAAGATGGAATGATGGGGGTTCAGTCTACCGTCAGTGTTTTTGCTTATTTAGTTGAATGTTAATCACTGTAATGAGTGGTCAAATTAATTAACTACTTTTTTAACATATTTTCAGGTGAGACGTGTGTTTAAGGAACTTGAACCTGTTGTTACTGTTGTTGACACATTTTGATGTGCCTAAAGAAATGGGCGAGTGTTTGATTGGGAATGAACTTGTGGAATTTTTATATTTTTATATTTTTTGCTTGGTGCCTGTTTGAATACGAGTGTGTAAACTTTGTTTACGGAATTTTCTATGTACTTTTGACTAAAATTATGAACACTTAAAAGCATGTTTGCGTTTTGATGGTAACTCCGTTGCATAAGAATTGACCAAAGTCTTATTTTGTCTTTTTTTATTTTGGTCAACAAGTTCTTATTTAGCAACACAGCAAGAAAGGATAGAAAATGTATCATTTCAAAAGGCTAGGCTATTTTTGGCCCAGCATCACTTCTAAAAACTTCTTGAAAAAAGCCCATCCTAAGCCCGAGTGTGAGAAGTTAATATCATATACATGTCTTGGATATTTTTGTCGAAATTATGTCTGGTCTGAGAGTTATAGGGCTTTTATATTTTGCTCATGAGCGTTGTAGTTCTCTGAATAGTTGAGTTGTCTTTTGGGCCTTTGTTCTTTCTGAGACTAGGGGAGAAAAAAGGAAAGCATCACTAATTGTTAATACAAACTTTTTTTTTTAATGGATAGTGTTTAACACTCGAAGAAGAGAAGATTAAACTTGATGATTCATAATAAAGGATGGAAGAAAATGACAATGAACAAAAAAAATTATAATTTGTTGCACGTTTGAGTCTGTTATGGAATAAGTAAAATAAAAATTTATTTAAGACAAAAAATCGGTTTAATAAATAAATTAGATAAAATAAGTAGAACACTAAAGGAGGAGACCGAAATGTTTAATGTATATAAAATGATTTCTATATCTCTCCGCTGAAACAAAACTTAAATTATATCTCTTAATCTGATTAATTGCATGGTTAAATTAATTATAAAATAATTGACCTTAATATCCTTAATTTACATATATAATTGATAATATGTGCTTTTATAATTTATTTCTACATATTTATGTAAATTATTTTTGTGAATAAGAATATTTTATAAATTATCTTAAACAATAATACTTTTTAAAATTAATAATTATGATTTTTTTAATATTTTAGTGATAAAAAAATTATGTATGTTTCATTTAATTTTGGGTTTCTAAAAATTAACCAAAAAAAAAAAAAAGTCTAGACTTGTTGGGAACATTTTGTAGTGACACGTAAACATTGCCAGAATCAAAAAGAAAGGAGTAACCTCATCAGCTTCAAAGCAAAGGCTACGCAAACCCACACTCAAATGTCCACTGTCAGAGTTCAAGTTTCGGCGTGTGCGCTTTCCGCCACCGTCAACCACCTTCGCCTCCGCCCAAACGTCGTCGTTTCATTCAACAACCATTTCGCTTTCAGACCCCAAAGAAAGCCTCTCTGCGTCTCTCTGTCTTCCGTTCCTCCTTCCCAACCCTTTGAAGTCGCCGTTAAAGCTTCCGTCACCACACCCAATAGGCTCGGCGACTGTAAAAACCTCTCCTTTTACGCTTTTCTTCTCTTTTTCCCTTTTGGGTCTCTTTGGTGGAAATTGAATTTGCTGTATTGATGATGTGGGTGGTTGTGAGTGAAGCTATGGAACAGAAAATTAGGATGTATCTAGACTTATGTTATGTCCACATGCATTGTCAGTTTTAACTCCATTTCTCACAACATTTTCTTTCTAAGAAATTTTAAGTGCTGTTTGGATTCTGAAAATGTTTTCCTATGTCTGTGGTTAAGTAATTTGTCATGTTTTTTGGAAGTGGGAATTGACATTTGATGTTTTTATTTTTTTCTCGTGAAATTATCCTGAAATTGTAGAGAGCTAATTATGCATATATTTTTGTATTTAAGATAATAGATAGTGATTTTTTGTTGGAATTTGAGCTTTAAACTTGGGGTTACTACCTGTAATCAATCAGTGAGTCTTCTTTGAATTGTGTTTTCAGGCCCTTTTTGCCAAAGAGTATTGCTGACACTGGAGGAAAAACATCTACCTTATGACCCCAAGTTGGTGGATTTGACCAACAAGCCAGAATGGTGATCTTCTGCTCCATTAAGTTTTTGTTTTCTTTTAGAGTGGTCATCTCCATAAAACCGAATCGCCTACACTGTTACACACCACAACTTGTCTGGTCCTCATATTATATTTGTTCCTTTCCTTATCTTTTGTTTTGGTGATTTAGGTTCCTTAAAATCAATCCTGAGGGTAGAGTTCCTGTGATAAAGTTTGATGAGAAGTGGGTTCCAGATTCAGATGTTATCACACAAACATTGGAAGAGAAGTATCCTAGCCCGCCATTGGTGACCCCTCCTGATAAGGCAACAGTGTAAGCATCTGGCTTATTGATTTGCTCATCGTTAGAAGATACTTGAAAGTCAATAAATTTAGTTCTCATGCTTAGTTGTTGGTTGCTTTGAATTTTTAGAAAAATGCATGTTGCACTCATACAAGCTTAAGTACGGTTTCTTTCATACCCTTTTTATTTATTTCTGCCTTTGGTTTTCCTTCTACTTTTCGTCAGTTTTTATTATTCGATGTTTACATGACTATATTAAAATAAAATGTACTACAACGATTTAATGTATGAATGTGTTTTTTGTCTGTAGGGGCTCAAAGATCTTTTCTACATTTATTGGGTTTCTCAAGAGCAAAGATCCCAATGATGGAACACAGCAAGCGTTACTAAGTGAACTGAGCTCTTTCAATGATTACCTCAAGGAAAATGTAATGTCTTTTATGCTCTTGTCTCTCTGCTATTTGTTTGCAATCTTGATTAGACTGTTGATTCGTTGATAATCTCTTTTTAGCCATGGAATGTTACAATGGAATTGTTTGTCACACGATCACAATCTTTACTTACATGATTCCCCTTTCTGAGCTGTAGTTTCTTCTTTAAGTTCAACCCTGGTAAGATTTAAGCTAAATGGTGAAGCGTGAAACGTGAATTACCGGAAGTTGGTATACATATGTTGAAAGGATATCTTTATTACCTTCTTTATTTTTTTATTTTTTTCTGTATATGCATTTAGTACGGAACTGAGATGTGGCAAGGACAAGCAAAAGCTTGGGATACATATTAACCTATATATGGCATCCTTCCCCCTTTTTCTCCTCTCTGCCTTTTACATGCATATTTCTTTTTATGTTTATTCTTGTAGACTTCTTTTGTAACATGTATTGCTGCGCTGATGCTTTTTACACTCCATCTACATAAGATGTTACCACATGTTAAACGGGGATCATGTGTCACTTTAATTGAGCGGATTTGAGAAAACGAAGGTATATGAGAAGATAACTTAGGGATCACACCTAGGTTACTTAGGCTGCAAGTGTCTCATTGGGGTATCTTCGAAATTTTGTTTCCCATAGTATGGGGTCTCCCTGAATATATATGATCAATATCACCCAAAAAAGACTGGTCAAAACTTAGGAACCAATTCGCTCAGAGCTGTTGATCCAATATAGAGTTATAGACTGCTTTTTTAAACTAAAACCCTCTAAACTAGGTATCATTTCCTGATTCTGGCCGAGTTGGAGATATTGACTAATATATCTCCCATTCTCAATGGAAAACCCTACTTGGATTTTCATGACTTAGCTAAACAAGCTCTTTGATTAATTTAAGGAGGCCAATAACTCCCATAATATCATTATGGTTATCTATCAGTAATTATGAAAAACATGATCCTAGTCCAAGATGGGTTATATGTTACATAACATTTGGATTCTGTTTTCTTATCCTTCGAGATTCTGCCTCAGTGAGTTTTTTCAGTTTTGAGGAAGGGGGTTCATTTGGTGGGAACCTTCTACTTTATTTGAATGACTTATCTTTTTCCTCTTTATAGGGTCCTTTCATCAATGGTAAAGAGATATCTGCAGCAGACCTGTCACTTGGACCAAAGCTATACCATTTGGAGATTGCTTTGGGGCATTATAAGAAATGGGCATTGCCTGATTCACTTACCTCTTTGAAGTCTTATATGAAGGTATGTTCAAGATGAGTCTATTCACTCAACATTTTAATATCATTTTCTTGTACTTCAAAGTATATGAGAACATGATACATTAATAATTCTTTGTTTGATGTTTCCTAGGCGTTTAGTGATGCTTTGAAATTGTTTCATTAACATGTTCGCAATATCTAATAATGTTGAATGTACAGACCATTTTCTCAAGGGAATCGTTCGTTAAAACAAGTGCACAACCACAGGATGTCATTGAAGGTTGGCGTCCGAAAGTGGAGGGCTGATATGCACTCACCCTGTTCTATCATTTCCATCAAGAGTTCAAGCCTATATTGTTTTGTACTATAGCCTTGTTTATTTACTATGGTCTATGGACAATAGAATAATTATTTATCAAAGAATAGTTGGCCACAGATTGTTACATGTTTGATAGGGAGGCCAGGAGGCTGCATTGCATGTAGATGAATATAACGAAAATAACAGCATTTTCTTAAGAGAAATCAGAATTATATTCCTTATTTTTCTTAAACATTGTTGTGCACTGTCTAAGCAATCATTTTGTGATGGGAATGGGCTAGTACTAAACGTGGTGATGAAGAGTCTGGTCTTAAAATCCATCTCCTAAGTAACAGTATGTACTCAATGGATAGTGAAAGCAGAGTTCAACGGATGAGAAGTTCGCCTTTCGGCCTTGTCATCAAGTACTAAATAAATTATATGGTTTTTGTCCTTTGAAATTGCTAAATTTTGAAAATAATAAAAGAAAATGTAATAAATTGCATCTTTATTAGTACATATTTACAATGCACGAAATAGACTAGGGGAATGCTTGGTAAAGCTGAATTTTTTTTAAAAGAATCCTAATATCACATTAATCAATAATCATAAAAAAAATAAAGGAATTATTTTCATTACAAACTTATGTGATTGTGTCAATTTTGAACACTCTAAACAACCTAACAACTTCCTTATTTTTTTTTATTTCTTCAGTCTTCAATTAATAGTAAACAACCAAATACTATAACCATAGTCCTCTCCTGATTATATTTTTGCTCGATATAGCCAATAGTTCTGCAGCATCTACGCGAAAATTACATTTTGGATATTCCAATTCAAAATTGAAAAATTAATGCATTTTTGGTTTCATGTTTAATTGGTAATGTATTTAAATTTATTTAAATGCTACTATTTGTAACTTTACGTTTGATATCTACTACTTTTTAATATTAATCCAAAAACTCTTAGATTTATTTCGATAAACGTAAAATAGTACAAATCTTAAATGAACAGGCTATAATTTCGACGTTATAAATAATTTCTGACAGAAATATTTAAACACTCAGACTAATACTTAAAAAGCAAACGAAAAATTTAATCAGAAGGGGCAACCGCAAAATGATTTCTATGCATTTAGAACGTGAAATAGTCTAAACAAATTTCATTTCAGCATGAAACAAGGAGGCTCTTTAAACCCCCAACCGCCATGCAACTACAAATACACAATGAACAACATTTCAGTAAGGAACACATATACTGTGATGATGACTAAATCCATCATCGTATTACTGTTAATTATAATAATAACCATATTTTTCTTCATAATAAAAAGATAAATAGCAATAAAAACCAAGATCATCAAGATCATCATAATAACAGCTTTCAAGCATAAGGCAGTGTGGAAGCCTAAGATCTTTAACTTGTTCACTGCACCTTTTGCTCAAACTCGCGGTCAAATTAAGATTTACACAACCTCGCAAGTCAAGTGATTCAAGGTGTTGGCATCCATTAAGAATTGCAAGCAAACCATCATTGGTGAGTTTGTTTACAAATATCTCAAGATGGCGCAAGTTGGGCATGGTTTTTGCAATAGCAAATGCAATAACATCAGCCATGCTACTTTCGTTAACAATACCTTGAAATTTCAACGTTGTCAAATTAGAGCACAATTGGCCAACAGCTTCAAGAGAATACAAACAATTATCACAAAGGTAAATGTCAAGTTCCACCAACTGTGGACACTTATCAACAACGAAAAACAATCCCTCATCTGTTATATCCTCACACAAAATAAGCCCCAAGCGTGTCAGTTGACTTGTACTGAAAATTTGACAAAAATACATGAAATATAAAAAAGAATTCCCAATCAATGACAATAAAAATAGCATAATAAAATCAGCACAAGTTTAATTTATCTTTTTACTTTTCACAAAAAAAAAAATAGTATTAAAATTCACTTTTATTGACCAATTAAAATTCTCTCCAAGATTTATAATTGTCTCAAGAGATTCAATATCCATACATTATTATAGCTTTTGAATAAAAGCCAAAAAAATCTTATAGAAATAAAATATTTTTGTGTAGATGTAAAACATAGATTAAATATTTTGTAATAAAAAAGCATTTTACATAAATTTAAAATTCATTAGTATTTGTTTTTTTTTCATATTTTTTTTTATAAAAATAATGGTAAGAGTATGTAATTTGAATCTTAGAATAAATTCTTGTACTCGGCCAAAAGATGCATCTAGGAATTATTTATTTCAAAATAATTCTCCTTAGATACACAATATATATTGCATGATAGAACGCTCTCAAGGACTCAGGAAGAAATGGTATACCTATTTGCAAGGTATTTGAGGATAGCATTGGTGCCAAGAAAAGCAATTTGAAACTCTTCGAGATGACCACGACTCTGATCAATTGCATAGCGACAAAACTTCTGAATCTTCTCAGCTGTAGAACAGGGTAAAGGATTAAAGTTGCAAATGTGAATGGTGCGCCACATGAGAGGGTCCTTGCAAATCTTCCCCCACAGAGAGCACACGTTACGTGCACTGGTCGCAATCTCGATCACACCCAAGCTGCTGAGTATCTTTGCTGCACGTCTGTAGGAAGTTCAAGCCAGTTTGGCCCCTTGGCGTTGTTCTTCTCTATTGCATCTTTACTTGAACACGATGCCATCTTCGATGCAATAAACGTTTGGATTTTGAATTACTTTTGGTAGTAATACCTTAATAAATAGTGTATCCTAAGCCTTTTGAAGCTTAAAAGTCGGGGATAAAATAGGCATTACATATAGTGTATTGCAACTTTAACAGTGATGCAAAAACTCTTCAGCTACCCGAATAACCTTGAAAATATGGAATTTCTTTGAAAATATTCGAACTCTTAATTGCTCCAATGTTCTAAGGGCTTTGGATTGATCAATTTGTATCGAGATATGTTTTTTTTAATAAATAAGAAAATTTATGACATTAATATGATTCATCAAAACTTTTGCAGTTCGATGGTTTCAAAAGCATATCTTTTAAGGGCATGTATATGACTAATTTAATAAATGACTAAATAATTTAAACACATAGGCAGGTTTCAAAAAATTTATGTATTTAATAAATTTATTTGAGTAGAACTTTTTAAATTAAGTTAAAAAAATTTATACAAAAATTATAGTTACTTTCATAAATATAATAAAGTATATTTCAAGTTATAGTTTAAAAGATTTTATTATAAGATAAGTTTGAATAATTTATAAATTTTTTTTAAAAAATTTATAAATTAATTTGAATCAATTTAAGATAAACTATATTGTTTTAGTTGAATCTTTGATCATACAACTTTAAGAGAAGTGATGAAGCATTTAGGATAAACTTTTTTTAAGTGAAAGATAAACTTTTATCCTAGGATATATATTAAGACAGTGAAGTAGATAACATTACATTATCTTATTTAATATTTAAGATAAAAATTAACAAAATAAAATATAAAATGTATTCAAATGACAAAATTATTATTTTGTTGAATTAATATATTTTTAAAAATATTCATATGATATTCTAAAAAATAAAAAATTATTTTTTATAATTATTTTATATAAAATATTTAAAAGAGTATAAAATATTAGAAATAATTAATAGAAAAAAAAAGTACGTATTGGTTCTTTCTTCGTTCAGCTATGAAACATTATTATTACTGTGTTCGAATAGCAGTGTAAAAAAGTACGTAGTTATTTATGATTAAACAGAAAAGTACGTATTAGTGGTTGAGTGTAGATGTACAAAGTAATGTATGTGGGTACGTATAGCCCCTGAACAAGATATCTGAAAGGAAGAGAGGACACGCGTTGGTTGGCCAATAAAATCTTCATCCTCTGTATTGGTTGGGTTTGGTAATGTCCTTTTACTACAATTCGGAGCCTGCATCTGTTGCCCTTACCAAAACAACGACCTCACATTCCGCTTCTAGCTTCCTGATCTGGGGCCCACAACCCATTATCTACGGCCAGGGACATCTTCGTACTTTCGCAACCACATTAAAATTTTCAAAAAAACACCTGCCACATCATCGATCCGTGTGTCTTTCTCACATTAAGACCCCGCCGTCGGATCACCGCCTCTTCCGCTATTCCTAGCCGTCCATATTTCCCTGACTGGAAAAGAAAGAAGCGTTTTGTTTTTTATTTTTTAATTATTTATTACATTTATTATCTTCCTTCAAAATCAAATCAGATCCTCAATTATTTGCAGGTTCTGCTCGAACGAGACAGTTCTGTGAAAACTTTGAAAGCTCTATTTGTTTTTAAGGTAGGTGTTGGAATCCGAGGTTGGAAAGCTTCAAACTCTGCAACCAACTTTAATGGCCGCTGGAGAAGTTACTAATAAACCCCTTTCCCTTCCTCCGTACCCCGAGGTATGTTTTAGCTACCCCTTAATCCCATCATTTTTTAATTAATTTACCTTATCAATTTTCTTATCTTTAATTTATCTAAATTTTCCATTTTATTTTCTGGAAAAATCTAGGAGATTTTTCAAATTAAACAAAAGCTAAAATTAGTTCTACCGATCCAATTTTTAATTTTTCTTAAAATTAAGAGACGTGTTTGGGTTTCAGCTCAAAGTATTTTTTTTCTTAAAAGGTAATGAGAAAACATAGAAAACATTGGAAAATGAAATAATTACAAAAACAGAGTTTGGGTGTTTTAATTTTGTAGATGATTTTGAAGGCAATAGAAGCACTGAACGAGGAGAATGGTTCAAACAAGTCTTCAATATCAAAGTACGTAGAATCAACGTACGGTGGATTGCCTCAGGGCCACAAGGCACTGCTCAATGTGCACCTTGGAAAAATGAGAGACAGTGGGTTGTTAGTGTTTTGGAAAAATAATTACTCAAAGCGTGACCAAAACGCGCCACCGCGGCGGGGCCGTGGCAGGCCACCCAAGCCCAAAGACCCTCTGCCTCCGGGTACTACGTTGCCACCTCCCCGGCCCAGAGGCCGCCCCCGAAAGGGCCCAAATGACCCACCAAGGCCCCCCAAAGCTAAGTTCTCAACTGGAAGTGGGAGGCCCAGAGGTAGGCCCAGGAAGATGGCCCGACCCGCCGGAGGATTTGGTGGAGCACCGCCTTCCAAGGCGGCCAGTGGGAGGCCCAGAGGTAGGCCTCCCAAGGTGAAGCCCACGTTGACAGAGATTAATGCTTAACAATAGAGGCTTGTTTTGAGTTTGGGCTTTGCATGGATAATAGAAGATTATAGAATGGAGCAATTAAGTCACCTGGGTTGTTAATCTTCTGCTAACATGGATGAATTGTTCTGTACAATCGTATGTGTATCGTAGTTAATGAGGCTTTGTTGGGTTGTATATGGTAATTGTGAAAATGGGACAATGGGTAGAGTTGGGGAACTCAATTCTAAAATTCTTGATTTGAAGAATCTTTGCCTAAATGTGCAAATGGGTTCTTCTCGTGTTCACTCAATTAGCATAACTCTTGAATTTTCAAGGAACATTTTAACTACAAGCAGCCTACTTAAATGAATGAAACTTGTAAAAGTCATACTAAATATAAGTAAAACCCATTCTTAAAGATGGTTCTAGTTATTTCTGCTTTGCCAATCTATGGATCTATAAACAATGTTTTGATATTTTATATTTTTAATGCTTTAAAAAACAAAGGAATCAAGCAAGACAACACCATACGCCTTATATAGATAATTATACTTGTCAAGTACGAAAGAAATTTGAATAAATCAGCATCTTATTTCTTTATATATATATATATATATATATATATAAATGAATAGGTACTTAAAGACAATAAAGCATGTATCACTTAAATTAATTATCGTTAGTATTTATTTTTCCATACTTTGACAACATATAATTGCTAATAATGTAAAAAACCAATTTTGTTAAAGATGGATGTTAATTAAATTGATGTATGATTATGTGGTAATGAATTTAAAAATGACTTAAATAAGAAAAACAAATCATATTTTTACTTGACTGTTTGTTTAAAAATTAAATTATCAATTCAAAATAATACTACTTGTGTTAATTGCTTATGACAATAAAAGTTATCAGATATTTATGATTTTACAATTTTAATTTAACAAATATGATTTTGTTCAACTTTTTCGCATTGTGAGTTTGTTAATAAGTGAATATATGCTAAAATAATTTGATAATGCTAAAAAATCATATTTTTAAATGTTTATAAATCTTACAATGTTATTTAAGGATGACAGAAATTACTCATTCTCATAAATATGCGGAGCTGAGAACATGTTACAAGTAAAAATATCATTATCATACTTGTAACTTTGATTAAATATAATTTTAATAGATGAGTTAACATTTAGTAGTTTATAAAAAAATTATATATATATATATATATATAATATTAAAAATATAAATTATATTAATATATTTTTATTTATTGAATAAACTTTGTTATATTCTCTTGCATAATTTGAAATGTAAATATTAAATGAAAAATATATGTAGTTATTATCTTAAAAAATTAAACTATATTTAATAATATTTTTTATTTACAAATTACGAGAAGTTATGAGAATAAAAATAGAAACATTTAAAATTGTTAATACCAAATGTGGCCGATGTTTAAACAAACAAATTTATTATTTAAAAATTTTAAAAACAAAACTGTATATGACTTTAAAAAAAAATAATACGAAACAAAAAATTAACATAAAAAAAAAATCTCACATCAGATATATAAACATTTTTCTTTTACATAAATCTCATCCAAAGACACAGAAATACGTGTTACTAACGCTAATCTTGCTGTGATTGATTACGGTGACTTTCTTTTGTATATTAAAGGTTTTTTAAACTTTATAATAAAAAGTCATTTAATTTCACGACAGAAAGATTACAAAGATAAATAAAAAATTTAATATTTAAAGTTAAAAATGGGGTCCTATTAATATAATATAAAAAAATGAAAATATCTATCAATTATGGTAAACTTTTTTTTGGCAGTAATTTAACATTAGCAAAGGGGATTGCGCGTTCTGTAAAGTATTATGCTGGTTGCTCACATAGTGCGCACATAATATTCCTTTTTTTAAAAAAAAAACAATTGGAGTAAGGGTACGTTAGGAACTGGCAAACCAAAAATTATTTAGTGAATAAGCAAATCACTTTTTTCTAATGTCGATAACACCTTCATTTTTTAACTTGGAAACTTCAATTTGATAGTTACTTATAGCAGGGTTTTTTTTATTTTGTCCCAAAAGCTGGTGGAGTTGGATATTTTCATCATTGTTACAAATTTAGTTAGTTTAATTGCATCTTGTTATTACCTTAATTACTGTTCGTATATATCCATTGTCACTTTTTTTTAATTACTTAAAAATATTTATTAATTTAATTTATATATAAAATGTAATTTTACATACAAAATATCTCAAAAAATAATTATTTATATTTTGAAGTAACAATAAAATTACTTCTATTTTTTTTTATTTAGCTTAATTTAAATTTAACTTAGATTGCATACGTTACATGTTTAGATATGATAAATAAGTTTATTATTAAAAAATAAAATAATAATAAATTGCTTATTTTGGACTAAATAAACCGAGTTAGCATATATTTTAAATTTAGTTTGCTCTTTTATATCAATAGTTTTAATTAATTTATTTATTTGGTATATACTCATTTTAAGGTTATACATATGATACATTTACAATTCGATCAAATTTAACAAAACTTTCGTATTTTGGTTTTCTAATTTATAATGTACGTTGAATTATAACTATTCATGAAGCCTTTATAAGACTTTTGGTAATTTGTTAATCTTTAAAAAATAAAAAGTAACATGTTTTTGTTGCACCGTAATATTCCCTACTTTTATACCCAATTTTTACATAAAGAAAAAGGAAAGGGAGAAAGAGCGAAGTTGGTCACCTCCCCCAAGAAGGAAAAAGCCAGCAAAGCAGGGTAACAATAAAAATCTGTGAACATGCAGTCACTTGCCACGTCATTGATCCCAGTGACCACCTCACAATGGATCCTCAACCGCAAGATCCTCATCCGTTTGTAGGATCTAAGCCGTCCAATATCCCAAAAAGATGAACCAGGCGTGGGTGAAAAAGAGGAAGGGTTTGCATCTTTTTCTTTATTATTTTTTCTCCTTTTCCTTTGTTTTGCAAATATTTTAATTTATTTATCCTCCTTTAAATCCAGCCTTCAGATATTTGCAAGTGCCACTCACATCAAAACTGTTCCTTTTAGTGAAAATTTTAAACCTGCCTCTGTTAAAGTTTCTATTTCTAATTTTAATCTTTTTATATTTTCGCCCTGTCACACAGCGTTCTCCTAAGCTTCTTCACCATCTGAAACTTCAATGGCGACCGAAGAGGTTAATAAGCCTTCGTCACTCCCACCATACCCTGAGGTAAACTCAACTACTACCCTTTTACTCTTTCTCCAAAATTTGAATCTTGAGATAAATTTTCCTGGTAGAATCAGTTATTTATGAATTGGTCTATTTTCAAAAAGGAAAAAAAAAGTTATTTTTCAACTGTTTTCTTACCTCTTCATTTGAGAGTCAATGCTCTCGAGGAATTCTAGGAAAAATCAGGTCGTGTTTTTTTGTTACTACGTCATAGTTCAGCTGTTGTGTAGGTTGATCTGGTTTTGTTCATTAGTTTGGATTTAGATGTGTTGTTGAGCTGAGTTGTAATTTCAGCTTTTCTGATTGATGCTTAACTTTATAGAAGTGAAAAATATGATGTATAGTAAGGTTTTATTAGATATTATTATTAAATAATGGGATTTTAAACAAAGTTTTTTTTATTCTATTTATTATCTTTTTATTTTTTTCTTTGGTAACCTACGAATTTAAATAAAATCGGGAGACCCTTTTATTTTTTCGAGGTTATTATTTGTCTTTTTTCTTTTATAGTGAATTTGGCACTACTTCATCTCGAAGTGTTAAATTTTTTCACAAACCCGTTAACCTGAGCTATGATTAAGAGAGGCAAGTTTTGTTGCTGAAAGATAGCCCAAGTTGTTGATGGTGGTGTCGTGTTATGTGTGTTTCAGATGATAATGAAAGCAATTGAAGCCCAAGGTGACAACAATGGTGCAAACAAATCGGTGATATCAAAGTATATTGAGTCCGCCTATGGAGAGTTGCCACCAAGCCACTCAACCCTTCTGTCTAACCACCTTAACAAGATGAAAGAGAGTGGTGAGATAGTGTTTTGGAAGAATAACTACATGAAGAGTGACCCAAATGCCCCACCAAGGAGAGGGCGTGGAAGGCCACCAAAGCCCAAAGAACCTCTTCCTCCGGGTACTATTTTGTCCTCACCAAGGCCTAGGGGTCGCCCTCCAAAGGACCCTAATGCTCCACCAAAGTCATCAAGTGTCAAAGTGTCAAGTGGAAGGCCCAGAGGGAGGCCCAAGAAGATTGCTAGGACTATGGTGACATCAACAACTGGCTCCACTGGAAGGCCTAGGGGTAGGCCTCCTAAGGTGAAGCCCCAATTGACAGAAGTGAGTGTTGAACAATAGAAAACTCCTTTGGTGACCATAAAGTAGTGATCTTGAACTTGATCTAATCTTCCTTTATAGAAGTGGGTGTGGTCTTAGTTTTCTTTTTCTTCCTTTAGTGTCAATGTAATTGCTTTGTAAAATTGTGTAGTGGATTAGTTTATGGGAAGGCTTTGCTGGTTTCTAATTATCAATGAGGACAATGACTAGAATTGGCGGTGAATTGTGTTCTCCTTGTGGTGCTCTAACTTAAGAATTCCTAATGTGGAAAAGGGTATTGTCCCTTGTGGTTATTCTTGTTCATTTTTTAGCACAATTGGAAAAAGGATTAATTTCTAAAACAATTCGTTTATTCGTTAAGACTTTTTCAATTTGGTAAGATAATTTGAACATATATTTGGTCTGAAATTCGATCTAACATTTTGGATTTTGGGAGATGATGTTAGGAATTTGACTTCGCTTTGCTTGATGAGAATTGGGTTTAGTCAAAGACTGAAAGAACCTCGTACGTAATTATTCTCTGTTCGCTCGATAGGACCTCGTAGGTGGTGTTGTGTCTACCTGGGAAGTCTACATCTTTTTTCAATGATGAAATTAATGAATTGCTACGACCACTCTTCTAGTTTTCCATTGTCTCGCCTTTGGATGGGATTTCAATTGTGTGGGAATCTTTTACAGATTTATTTCTTCCAAGTTCTGCCCTTTTGATTGATGGCAATCAATATGGTAAGACATTTAGACACAGGGAATCAAACAATATATAGGGAATGATATAACATTCATCTATCCAAGATTGTCTACTAAAATGCAACAAAATTAAAATGTACATTGCTTAAATTGAACCATTTCCCAATCATACTTAAATCTATCAAGTGTTGAATAATATGTAAATGTAAATTTAATGAAAAGATATAATTTATGGAACTGAAATAAACGTGTATAAGTAGTCAGTTGAATGTGAATCTAAACAGGTAAGTAATACTTCTGAAATGATTTCATAACTTTTAATAGCTGGAGATTGGCAAGCAAATTCCATGTAAAGTGGTAAACAGTTTTGAAATTGAGTCTAAATAAGAGAATCAGATTCAAAATTGAATAGTGCACAGCCACTAAGTCAGCGAAAGAAGATAAAAATGGGTGATTTCTAGGAAACACGCGGAATAAGAAAGAAGTGACCCAAACCAAAACTTCTGGTTCCATTAGAAACACACATGTAGTATTATACACTTTCCAATATAATTCTTTAATACACTTTTGTTATTACTTGTTTCTTTAAAAAAATACAAAATGAACAAAAATTGTCAAATTGTAAATGAGATAAATATAATATTAATAAATTTTAACTTGATAAAAAAATATATTTAAAAAATGTTAGACAATATCTTACTGGCAATTATTTTTCTAACTTTATCTAATGTACAGACACAACAATAGACAATAGGGTGAAAATAAAAACTTTGCTGCATGAGAAATTGTGCATGATTATCGAATGTAGTAACGATGGACCTATCAATTACTTTTGTTCTAGATTTTATTAATTATATATTGAATTTTTAAATGATACAAGCTTAAAAATTAGATAAAATTGAGTATCCATTTATCTTTTTGTATTTAATTTTTTAATTTTCAAACAAATAAAATGAAAAGTGATTATTGCACGAGAAATTTATTAATTTAGGTTGCAGTTGTCGATAAGATACAACAGTTTTATTGAATACTGGTGTAGTCTATTGTGTACCACCTTAAGACTTTTGACTAAAATTGGATATATTTTTATCACGGACACAAAACTTGTTTACGTACTTATTACTTTAATCAACTATTACATAAATGAATAATAGAGTTTGCAATTAATTAATAATATCAACGCACAAATGAAATGGATATAATGATATATAATACTTAAGGACCGTGAAATGTTTTTATCAAGTTAATAAAGAAGACTCGTGAAATACTAAAACATCGATCACAATATTTTGCTTCGAAGAGAAAAGAAAGATGGGAGGAATTAAATAAGTAAAACAAATAAAAACAAATAATTTTAAGATTTGCAGAATGAAATAAAAATTTATATATAATAATTTCTTCTTAAAAAATTACATAATATGATAAGATCTAATACATTATAATATTAAATAATATAAATTTTTTTATTTATTACAAATTTTACTCCATGACACTTAACACATTAGAATAGTTAAAATAAAATAAAAATATTTTTATAACACTTTTAACTAGAATATGATATTAATTTATGAGTTTTGTTAACTTTAGTCTTAAAAAAAGTGAGTTTAAGGATAACAATACTATATTTTAATTAAAAATATATGCATTTATTTAAATTTAAACATTTAATAAATTTTTTAAAAATATTTAAAGGAAACCTAAAGTTGAAGTTAACATTTTTTTATTAATTACCGTACATAATTTTTGCCCACTACTTTCTTAATATTTAGGCTATAAAATAAAATTCTTCATTAAAAACATTTATATTTTTAAATAATAAAGAATTTTTTTAAATAAAATCTTATTATTTTCAAATACTTAAAAATAATTTGAAGAGTTGGTATTAGCAATTTTTTTGTATGATGTTTATGTCTACGGAAGTTGCGTAAATCTTCCGTGTGAGGCTCTGTGGTTGGACGCGGTGGGAAGGAAGAGAAAAAGACAAATAAGCCCCTGAAAGCTATTTAAAATGACACGATGGGTGGCTTTCCCAGAAGCTAAGTTGGCCCGAAAGCGCTCTCTCTTTCGCTGAAACCCTAAAACCCCCTTTCTCTCTCAATCGCATGAATCTTTCCTCTCTTTTTCCTTCCAAACCCTAATTTTCTCTTCTTCGTTTAATTCATCAAAGCTTCTCACCCCCCAAAACGCTCACTCTCACAAACTCCCTCTCTCTCTCTCTCCCTCTGTCTCAATCGCTTCACACACTTATTTGCCCATTCCGTACGCGTTTCTCTTTTATTCGCCAGGTAATTCTCTTCCGTTCTCTCTTTTTTTGTCGCGGGGTTTTTCAACTGTGATGTCTTTCTGTGTGTGCGTTTGAGGAGGTGGGGGGGGGGGAGTTGAGTTGAGATGTTAGCATATTAGGGTTTGTGTGTGTTGCGAAGAGCGATGAACTCTAGACTAAAGTTGTAAATTTGGATGTTCTACAATTTTTTATAATTAACATGCTATGCTATTGGAATCGAAATATTTTAGAAGCAAGGATGAAATTTGCCAGGGGAGGGGGTTGATCTAGTATGTTTTGAAGTGTTTGGATTTCGATTATTTATCGGGAAGGTTATGCGTTTTAGTATTGGTTATGTCGTTTATGATTCAGGGCTTCCCTGTAAAACTGGGAGTTAGTGTTCAGACTGAAGAGAGATATTATCCAAGAAGATCTGTTGAAGTTGTAATGTATACGTAGAAATTCAGTGTGGAGTCTTTTAGGTTGGATCTTGTAGTTTTGATGTCTGGCAGGTTGTAGTCTTGAATTTTGGGGAATGTTTGGCTAGGACTTGTTATTCACTTTTGGCTGCTGAGTGTTTTACAAGATTAGCCCACATGATTTATGGACTTAAACTGGAGTATTGTATAAACAATGTTATCATCGTCTTAGTCCTGAGATTTTCCATTCAAATTATTTCTGTGCGATCTGTTTTCATTAGGATCTGGGATGCTTGCGTATAACTGATTTTATTTCTTAATTTTTGCAGGGCTACTTCACTGAAGTTTCGTGAAGGGTGTAACACTGTTAAATTGGAAGTGTAATGGCCTCGTCCTTGGATATGTCACTTGATGATAGAATAAAGAACAGGAGTAACAGAGGGAGAGGTAGAGGGGGCCTTGGCAGAGCCCGTTCTGGCCGTGGACCAAGCGGGACTCTTAGTGGTGGAAGAATGACTGGTGCTGTTAATAGTAGAAGAGTGCCTGGTGCTGGTAATGGTGGAAGAGCAACTGGTGCTGTTCGTAGAGGTCCTCTTATGGTTAACACTCGACCATCGTCTTATGCTATTGCCAAGGCAAGCTCAAAAACCGCGGATGCTTATACATGTGTTTGAGATTCTGATAAACTATAAAATATCCAATTATGAGACGAATCAGCATTATAGAAACTCAAAAGCAAGTGGAACTTCCTTCTTTTAGTGTTTGTTCTATGGAGAGGCGAGTTCATTTTGCATCATCGATGCCATTGTCATAGTTCCATAATGTCACAATTAATATGCACCTAAGAGTTGTTTGCTTTTGTTTTGGGGGATATGCTACAGATCTATGATGTGTGCAGGAGTTCTTTGATGATTCCTGGCATATTATGTGAAGGAGCTTCATTAAGTGAATTTCAAAATGGAGCTCTTAGCAGTAGCACAAAAATCATAAAACTATAAGTGGGGTTAAATTCTCTAAACCATGCAAATTCATTTCATTTACATGAGATGGCTTTAAATGTTTGGCTCGTTATGTGTGGACCGGTGTTTTATTGGATACTCTTGCTCAGTTGGGTTCTACAGTGCAAGAATTCAGTTTACTTCTAATTCATGGTATTTTGCAAAGGAGCTTTTCGCTTAGAACCAGAACTGGAGCTCTCACTAGTAGCGTAGCACTGGTTATATGCCGTGGGTTGAATTCTTTCTCCATTTACCATCTTTCACCTAGAACATTGATGTTTGAGTACGGGTCTCTCTTGATTAAATATATTTCCATGGCCAGATCTACTTCGTTAATAGCGTGTTTTGTTTTTTTCTGGGGATTTTCCTGCTCTGACATATGTTGAAGAATGGTGAATATCTTTTTTCTGGTCATAATCTGATGTGTTCTTTTGCCATTTTGGAAACTGTTCTGTTTGCTTTGGCCAGTCTATTCGCAGAGCTAGGCCTTTTCCATGGCAGCATGATTTGTTTGAAGATAGCCTAAGAGCTGCAGGGATTCAAGGAATAGAAGTCGGCACGAAGTTGTATGTTTCGAATTTGGACTATGGAGTGACCAATGAAGATATAAGGGTATATATTATGTCATATCATCATATGCTTCGTTCTTAGTCACTGTTTCTAGCCAACCTGTTTGGAAGTTCTCTTGAAACTTGATTTGCAACCCAGGAACTATTCTCTGAACTTGGAGCCTTGAAGCACTTTGCTGTTCATTATGACAAAAATGGACGTTCAAGTGTAAGTATTGGATTTTGTATTGTAATTTTAACTACCATTTTTATCTTAGTCTATTGTTGCCAATTGATTTTAAATCCCGGGGGGGGGGGGGAGTAGTACTTAGTTCTAAGTTAGTCAATTGGATTTGACTAGCCATTGACACTTTTCCCAGTTTAACTTAATTTATTTTTCCGGATGTGGTTTGTTTAGCAGTTTGTAGTCTGCATATAAGCTTTGCTGCTGTGGTTGCCAGTTTTTTTTTGGCTAAATGGTTAGTGTCTTATATTGTGTAACAGGGTTCAGCTGAAGTTGTTTATACCAGGAGAAGTGACGCATTTGCTGCTCTTAAGCGATATAATAATGTACTTTTGGATGGAAAGCCCATGAAGATTGAGATTGTAGGTTCCAATGCGGAATTGCCTATAACTGCACGAGTGAATGTCACTGGGGTGAATGGACGGAGGAAGAGGACTGTTGTCATGACGTAAGTTACTTGGCATTTTGGCCTGGCTTTTTTGGGTTTCTTTTTTCCCTTAAAAGTGGAAGTTCCTTGAATTAGTTTCTTTAGAATCCTTAATTTTTGTTAAGAAATGCTAATATTTGTGGACAATAAGCAATGGTACGTGAAGATAATCATTTATGATTTTTTAAGTATCATCCAATAAGTATGCTCTTACTTTGGATTGGAGGAATTGTAATTTTATATTTTTTGCCTTGTGAATTTTTATATGTATTGCTGTATTAAATACATATTGTATTTGTGCATTATAGGCTATTAAATACTTAGAGTTTTAAGAAACTGTTGCCCACTGCTCCAGTTTTGGGCTTATTTTTGGGGTAAATTGTGACATATGAGACCTAAATGAATAACCCTATTCCCCCAATTCAGTCACGAGGACGTTCTGCATGGACCAGAACACAGCCTTCTCTTGCTTACCCCACCCTCACCAAAGACCACCTCTTCTGGCATTTTAGTCTCTATTATTGCTGTTATTCTTTCCTCAACTTTATTTGTTATTTACTTATTTACTTTGTGTAAAACAGACTACAGCTTGTAAAAATTATGAATATGGCATGAATTGAGTGTTATGCATTTAATTATGCATATTGAGTAGATATATAATCTTAATTAAAAGTTTTAAAATAGCTGTTATCCTACTATTGTTTTTGGTGTTGACTGCAATCTAGGACGGTTAACTATGATGCTACATGATCAGAACATGCACCAACTGGCAAATACTTTTTCCTTTAGTATTACCATGTTCTGTTAAACTCCAGTTCTCTCTTGGTAGGACAAAAAATACTGCTTCAAATTGTGTACTAATGTTTAGAGGTGTTGCAGGCCTAGAGGTGGTCAAGCTGGAGGTGCTGCTATAACTAATCGTGGTGCTGGGTAAGTCTTTTAGATCATGGATGATTTTGCATTTTTTACTGAGCTTGAGTACAGGTTAAATGAAAGTTTGTGTGTGTATTCCAAAATATCTCATTAGCATGAAGATTTTGGTCATATATGTTGTGGATAGTGTATAATTTTTTGTGTATTATTAGTTAAAAGTGATTTCTGTTGTGGTTTATATATTTAGCTAAGGCTAAGTTTAATCACCCCTATTAAGGATTTATTGAAGAGTACAGTTGATGTTTCATTCATACCTGTTTTTACCATGTATTTGTGTTTTGGTATGCATGTTTTTTCAATTGAAAGGGATTTCTGAGTTGGTATATGCAAAGGGTAGAAGGGATATAAATATTAAGCTGTTGAACATTCTGATTTAAGATACATGAAGGATCATAGGTTAAGTATTTGTTTCTGGTGTCATGAAATGCCATGTTAGCAGGAAAGATATAAATTTTAAGCTGTTGGGAGTTCTAAGTCATATACTAGAAATCTGTTGAAAAACATAGGCTATAATCGTTTATTGATGGCATGAAGAAATAAAACAACTGAGATAGAAATTAGGGTGTATTTTAATAGTTAATTATCCAGAATCTCCCTTGAACATACACTGATCATATTTTGCATGAATTGGGCAAATTTGCTGCATTCTTCAAAACAGTTTTCTTCAAAGTGTATAGACTAACGAATTCCACGTCTATCGAACAATAACACATAGGATATCAGGTCCTCTGTTCAAGTGTAATTGCATTTTTCTGATGCTATTCTCAAATTGTTATTAGGTACTGTTACATTTGATTGGTTTATAATCCTGCACTCTATAAATATCCAATATGTCCATAGTTTAGTTTTTGAGCTTAAGTCGTTTGGAGGTTTGTAGAGCTGGTGTGTTTTTTTATTTTGGATTCCTGATTTGAAATTGTGGTAGATGCATTTTTGTGGGACATGACTTATTTTTATCATGTGATGCGGGGTAGGGAAGACTTGTTTCAGTTTAATTTAGGCACTTATACACGGTAGCTTCAGTAGAGTCAGGAACAATGGTAATAGGCATTGTACAGGTAATTTAATTGCCATTATGCTAGCTTTGTTATCATACAGGCACAGAAAAGGGCCCAGTATTGTTTTCTCTAGTCCTGTGGTATAGTTATTATATAATGACCTCATTTTCTTTCCTTTCCCGAAACCTGTCATTCAATGTTTATTTTATTTATTTATACAGCTGGGCACGTCGCGGTGGTTCAAGGAGTGGCAGTGGACGTGGTCGGGGCCGTGGTCGGGCTAGGGGTGGAGGTGCCCGGGGTGGAGGTCGAGGTCGTGGAAGTGGAAGAAAGGATGCTGTTGAGAAGTCAGCAGAGGAACTTGACAAGGAACTGGAAACCTATCACGCTGAAGCCATGCACATCTCATGAGAAGTGGGAGTTTATTTTGTAATGTTATTAATCTCAAGATTTGTGGTTGGCTTCCTTGTACAAAAGGCTCGTTTTCTTGGCGATACTATGGATCTTTTAGTGCTTTATGCTTTTAAATATGCCATCCTATTTGACCGCATTTAACTCGTGTTTGAGGTTGAATGATCAATGAGTGATTTTTGAACTTGTCAAAGACATAGATTATAGTCATATTTGCGTATCAATTCATTATATTATTTGTAATTGTCTTGCTCCCGTCATCTCTTGTAAGCGTTCAGCTAGTTCAGTGTGTTGCAAAGATCAACAGTTACGGGCAGCATGTACAAGGAAATATTTCCATCAGGAGTTTTAAATTCTCATCTCTTTGGAAACTTTTAAAAAGGTTTTATTTGTTATTTATTACCTCCGCATATTTTTCTAGCAAAAAATATACGTTTAAGAATTCACCTTGTGTACTAATCATCCCTCTTTTATATATATAATACGTTGCATTATTAGTCTGTGTTTTTGGCATTTTGATTGTCGTGCATGTTTTCTGTTTCCTTGTTTTGCTGAACCTCAGGCGTTCAACTTCACGCTTTTTGAATCCTCTTTTAAGTAGGTGCTGAGTCAGGTTTTACCAGTGGAGGATGCAACGCTCAAATTTGTAGAACAAATAAAACGATCAAGAGATATTTATCTTTCAAAACCATTATGCCTATCCACCAGTGTGATAACCGACAACGAAATAGTAGAATGGATCATTATAAGAACATACACCTTGCATCAGTAACAGTCCCCACTCAACAGATAAAAATATTTATTGATCCATGTTTACTTTAAATTATACATAGGAAAGCCTCAAGTTTTAACCCCGAAAAAACAATCAGGACCGAAACATCAGAAATAGCACTTCTCGGCTCACGTACTGTAATTCCTCTGCGGTATGCCTGGAGTTCCCAAGCAATTGTAACTCTTTTTTTTACATCTACAAACCCAAGAATACCTAAGAAAAAAAGAAACAAATATATGAATGCGTGTGGATATGCACGATAAAGACCATAGAGAGAGATGCTATTGTGGGACATGTGTATCCCTTTCCAGGTGTGGATCTGTCTCATTCTTGAGTAGTTTTTGAACCACCTCATCCCAGGTTGACCTTCCCCGACTTGATTTTGATTGGGTAGTTGAGGCGTCCTTGCTTGCACTACTGGATGCCTCACCTTCATTTTTTTTAGATGATTCTTCCTCTGCAGTGTCCACTGCATGAGGTACATTTAAGCTAACAGCCCTTTCCAAAGCATCTCTATGTTCTTTTTCTATGGTCTTCAACCTCTCAAACTTTCGTACAGTTGGAGGGACTGTCACAGTTTTAGAGCTGTGATCCTTCATTAACTAAAAGGGAACACCAAGAACAGTCAGAAATTCATTAAATGCATAAAATATTAAGAAATTCCAACAGATTTTTGGTCCATAGATCACATTATTATCAATAACAGAGTCTCAAACTTAAAAGAACAAAGACAAAAGCAGAACCATGTATTCTATTCCTAGTTATTTCTTGGGCATGCACCAAGGTTTTTTTTATTTCTAGTTGGGGTTACTAAACAGTGTTAGTGGAAAAAGAAGAGCAGCAAAAAATGCAAATGGTAGAATTTTCAAAACTATATTTGCTTACTTGTAAGGCTTTCTCTGCCTCTCTTTCAATCCAAATAATTCCATGATCTGAAGTTGCATTACAGGACAAGACAATATGCTCAAATCTTCCATCAACAGGAATGGCAGTCCTCACTTCAGGAGGAAATCTCCCACATCTGTGTTCACCATGCATCAAGCAATTTCATTATTTGGAACAATATATTACATTATTACTTCTAGGCCTGTAGCAGTAGTTCCGGACGAGGTTTAGCAACACATGATATCTCTGTGTCCGCACTCGGTGAACAATTCCTTGTGCTAAACCATTAATATTGAGAACTGTTCTTTAATGCGGGTCATAGACGAAGATGCTAAAATTAGTGAAACCATTAATTTTCCCGTACACTACACAAGTAACTTTCAATTCAAAAATAAATTATACGATTAAATTTAATAGATTTTATACATTTTAAAAAGATTAAATATTTTAATTATTGATAATATATATTTTAAATAAAATTAAAAATAAATTATACAAAATTTAAAATAACATTAAATTAAAAAATAAATACATAATATACGAAAAATCACTTGGCACAATAAAAAATAAATAAATCCTTAAAAATGCTCCTATTTGGGAATACCCATAGAAACACTTTCGTTCAAAGAATTAGTAGTTAAAATATATTTGTTTGATAGGGAATTCCTTTCAATACACTTACTAGCAAAAGAAATGGAAAAATCAGCTGGAATATTTGAATTAGAACAGTCAAGATGAAAAGGTCTATTTCGCTCAATGTTTGGAGTAAACAAAAAGATTAGAACCCCAAACAAATAAAAAATGAAAGACTCCTACTCCACAAGGCAAAATATACTGTGCTTAACTAATGAAGCTGGGGGATGACACGTCGTGTAAAGATACTTGATTTGATGTCCCAATTGAATCAAAACACACACACACTTACACAAGAAGAACAGACAAAGAAAAATGATGAAATACATCTAACCTTTCTAGTTTCTCCTTAATAAACGACACTTAGAATTAACGGGGTATGTAATAAAAAAGCACAAAAATATTCATAATAACATGATTCCTTCAGCATATGAAGACAAGAAAAGTTATAGTTTCATGAATCATGCTCTCAGCTAACTATTAAACAAGTCGATTCAGCACTACAGAATGATGTCACACAGAGCCACTGCTTAGGCAACTAACACAAATAATTTCACAAAAGCAATTTTTTATCATAGAAATCTAATAAACATATTCCCACAAAGATTGTAATTATATACAGGATTTTACTAGGAATATAACTGTTTGCAAGTTAATACCTGCAAAATTTTCTCTCAACAATATGGTACATTCGTCCTGGTGCATAAAGTCTCCTTGGATCCCCAAGCTTTCTACCCTCGGGTATAAAGGTGTCTCTCAGGCAAACCAAGAATAATAAGCAGGGCAAACTGTTTAAATCATCAAGGCCTGGTTTAAGACATCATCATGGTATTTTACTTCGCTCAATAATAAAGATTAAAGGAAAATAAGAACAAATCACATGATTGAAAATTTGAAACCAATGTGCTCATATGCATATCACAGAAAGGGCAACACTAACCAGAATATTGATTTGAATATATCTTCCAGTGGAGTGGCCGTTCTTGGCAAGAAATCATCCTGCACCAAGAGATAAATAAGAACAAGAACGTAGTTTAAACCGGCGTCATCATCATCATCATTCAATTGAATATAATTTATAAGCGAACATTTTAAATAACCCCACATAAGAGTAGTAACAACAATCAGGTTGATAATTTTGATCAAGAATAGAAGAGAGCGAAAAAATAATAATTTCACCTTTGTTTATACACGTATTACGTACGTTACATACATATTACCTTGCATAAGTACAGTTTTACACCTTTAATTTTATAAACATTTTTATAATTTTATCCATTTAATGACAAGTTCCTAAGCAATTCAGTCAGAGGCAATACGGTCAAGCTGACAAAAATCTCGTAGGAAATGTTTGAAAAAAGCGTTTTTTTTTTCTTATAAATAGTGACAAAAACATTACTTTTGAAAATTAATGTAAGAACCGGTAAAATTAACATAACACTATTGAAACGAAACAGACATTATTGTAATTATTTTTAAAAACTAGATTCTTTAAAAAATTGTCTTCTCAATAGCCTAATGATATTGAGATAATACATCAAATCACACAACCATCAAATAAAAAATGAAGTATTCTACTGTTTAATTAAAAACAAAGTTTAATTAACATGGATTATCATCCACGTCTCAATTAATTTTCATTAAAATGAAAGAATTATGGAACTAACCTGCAAAATAATAGAGTGAATGACATTGGCATATTTAACGGCCAAATTGAGAGACATACAACGAGCAGGAGCAAGAGCATAACACCGAATCTTCTCTTTGGGAATTCCACCCAAACGCTCTCTATGATTCACAACAAGAATTGTCAACAACGAAACCACACCAGACCCCAAAGAGTGACCCGCAAAAACCATTCCATAATCCGAACCATTCTCAACCCACAATCGCTTCAAAGTCTCCGATTCACGATTCAACAACCAAACCGCAGACTTCAGCAACCCATGATGAACATACCCACCATCGAACATTTGCTTACCCAATCGATTATCCAAAAGAAGCTTATAATCACTCTCCTTCACTAAATTGAGTCCACGCACCGCCATCACGATCTCGCGGTGCTCGTGATCGGCGTAGATTATGTAGGGCGGCGCTTGGCCGAGTGTTTCTTCGTAAGTGACACGTTTTATGACCCAATCCGGGTTCAACCCGTACCCGGTTGCGGGTTTATAGTACTGCGGGTTTCGGAGATCCGGTTCGTAGATGGCGAGAATGAGTCGGCAGACACGTGGTACCGGCTCGAACTCATCGGCTGTGGCGGCTGGCCACGTGACACTGTCGTAGGAGCCGACGTAGGTACAGCGTTTCCAGAGCCAGCGCGCGCAGCCGAGAACGAAGACGCACTCTACCCCACATGATACCGACATGGTTTTCGGGGCTTTTAAGGTAATGGGAGTCTTAGAATGTGTGGAAGTTTGGAACTTGTGGTGTCAATGGAAGATGGGTTTGGATATGCTTTCTTTCTGAGTGAGTGTGTTTGAGAGTGATAGCCTAATTAGGGGTTAATCTCTATAACACATAGAATGGGATGTGTTAGAGAGAATATAATGGAAGATTCTGGTGTGAGGTTAAAGCCTTCAACTTCAAACAAGTTAGCTGGAGAGAGAAAAGAGACTGAGATTGTGACTTTTTTTGTCAGATTCCAATGCTTGTCTTTGATTATAGTCATGCTTAGTCTTTGATGCTATTAAATAACCATCTACTCTTTGAAATTATAAAAGTAAAGGATGAAAATTATATGGTTTGATTATTTCAATGATTAAAAATAATGTTTTTTATTCAGTTTACAATACATTTTTACTAAATTACACAAATTTAAAAATATGTTAAAAATTTATAAGAAAAAATGTTAAAATTAATTATATTTTGATTTTTGAAAATTTATTGTATAATATTTAAATTTAGGGTTTCGTTAACTTCTATTCTTAAAATTAGGTTCAATATCAAAAAATAAATATTTTTTTAAAAATAACACATTTATTATGTTAAAATTATAAGTGTAATAAATATTTTTTAATAATATTATTGTACTTAATTTTCAAATTTGATCTTAATTTTTAAAAATATTATTATGTAAAGTTAAATTTCACTTTAAAGTCATTAGATTTTACTATTGTGATTAAACTATAAAGACAAATATATAAAAACATTAATACTTTTAAAATTCCATAAATTGTCTTATAAATAATATCAACTTTTAATGTATTGTCTTATAAAGGAATTAGACACCATCTTAAATTTTTTTGGATATTTTTTTCCAATGGAAAGTAAAATTTATTTTAATAATTAACCTAGAAAAAAATAAAAGACCAGCATTAATTTTTAAGAAAAATTAATTTCAATTAAAAATATATAAATTAGTACACCTTAATTTTATCCTACATTAATAGATATTTATATTTTTATGAAATAATTTAATGTGTCAATTGTTGTTTGTTGAATTGCATTTTATAATGCTATCTTTTCTTACTTATCAGCTTATGTGAAAAGTTAAGAAAATACTAATTATTATTTTTTGTTCATATAGGAATTTTAATTATAATAAGTAAAGCATTTTTACCAGTTAAATATTCCAACAATTTAAAATAGATTCCCTAATAAAAAATATTTTTAAATTTTTATAATTATTTTGAGTAAATAAATAAAAATATAAACAGTTTTTGTTAGACAATATGTGGATGCTTGATTGTTAAGTTGAATTTTAGCTTTTCTTTTATTATTATTTCATCAAACGTACATTAAATTTTTTTTTTGTGGATGTGGGTAAGACTACAGCTTTTATAATTAATAATTTTGTGTGTCTATAAATTATTAATTTGAAAATTCATTAAATATTTTTATGTTCTTATTTTATATTCATTTAATTAAATAGTAACAAACATTTGAAAAAACCAAAAAAAATCTCTTTTAAATTTGGTTAGGTGATTACACGTCTCCTTTTGAATGAACTCCAGATTTTGTTCTCTGTAGTCATCCAAAAAACTATTTATACATAAAAAAAATATAAACAAAATATAAGATTGTAACTTTTGAATGGTGAAGGATGAAACTGCATCATCTTCAAAGATCCTGCCTGTTCCACACCTGTATATGTGATTCAACTTAATTGCATTATTTAATCAATGATCAAAGTCGATGGCTTTAATTTTCCTCCATTGTTTAGGTAGGAGTATCCATGAATATAAAGTGTAATGGTTTATAAAATGTAGGTTTGGCTTTTCATCAACTAGCAGCCAATAACAAGAGAAAATAAAATTATTTGTATTCAACCATAGTATTTACATGATTACATCTATGATGAAATAATTTATAGTTTTTATTTAATATTCTCATTTATAATCAAATTTTAACATCTAATTAATCCTTAACATTTTTCATTATAAACATAAAATATGAATATACAATTTTTTAATTTTGTTAATGTATATTGTTATATTCTTTTTATGATCTACATATGTGATAAAATATATTTTTATAAATCATTAAAAATTAATGTACTTTTAATTATTATTTATTTATAAAGTTAGAAGAATAACCAAAAAAGAAATTTTAAAGTATTAAACAATGTAATGTACGTTTCTTGAAATATATTATTAATTAAGCATGTGAATATTTTAAAAGAAAATTAGAAAAAAATTATCATGTGATAATTGTAGTTGAAAATTTTAATATTATAAATCAGTCCACGCTTTATAAGTCACAGACGGCTTTTATATATTATTGTTTCATTCTCTTTTCTCTCTGGCTGGTGGAGTAGTTCATTTTCTTCTTTTCTTTTCCTTTCTTATTTGTATCTTCAAATTTCAATCCTCCATGTTTCTCTTTTTTATTATTTTAATGGTTGTTATTTCTCTAATTATCTTCGAACCAACTAATAACGCCGTAATTAAATACCAATATTTTTTTTCTGAATATTTAACGTTTGAATTTTGAATTCAAGGTTACAAATTAAGTTAAAACAACTCCTTAAATTACATGTTTGGTCATAAAGAATAAATTAATGTTTAAATTTAAGTAATTATATATTTCAGAAAGTTGTATAGTCCATCTTCCTTCTTTCTTTAATGTTTTGTAATATGGAAATCTTGTTACGAAATCTAATGACTTTCTAGAATGAAAGATTAATAAACCATTGATAAATTTGAACTTGCAACGGCCATAAATAGAAAAAAAAAATTAAAACGAGAATTAAATTCACCTTCAAAATAATTTTGATGATTATGTTTCATCATATATATATTTTTTTATCACATCTAAGGATATGTAGTAAAAACTATGTGTAATAAAATTGTATTGAAAAAAATTAATAATTGAATATATTATTAGTATTAAATATTGTACCTGTTAATAAAAAATTATTGTATTTTAGATTTATATTATAAAAAATTATTAAAATTTCCCTTAAAATTGCATTACTTAATGACCAGTCTATTTCTCCAAAGAGGAGAGTCAAAGTTGTATGAGATAATGAGTTCTTATTGGAATTTTCCATTTTGAGGAAATAGCTGCTAGGAAAATATAGTGCTTAGTGAATTAATGATACATCATTATACCATACTCAGTAAAAATTAAAAAGAGAAGTAATTGGCTAAATTCCAATCTTTTTAATATATAAATCATTCTGAGAGGAAAAGAAAATTCTCCTGCTTTTGATTTGTCACTTTTTGCTTTCCTGCTTGCTAAGATCTGAATATTTATACAATCATATGCTTTTCAAACACGGTTTACCCTTTTCAATAATTGTTATATTTATCATTTGATCTATGTTTTTAACAACAGGGAAATATATCATAATTATAATTGTGATAAACAACGAAATAAATTATATTTGTTCTTAAAATAAAGTCCTTTTCTATAAAAGATGTTTTGACTATGATTATTTTAAATTATGTGTGTATTTGAATATATAACTTATTTAAGTATTTATTTAGTATATTTTTTAAACAATAGTCTATGCTACAAATTTAATAGTTAACATAATTTATTTTAATAAATTATATTAAAAACTAACAAAAATTAATTTGAGTGGCAGACAATTTGTTATCGCTTAAGTAAGATTTTATATTTGAATTTTTGTATATATCAAAAAATTTCAATAATAAACTCACCTACCATATTCAAGTGCACGACTTGAGTCGGATCCAAATTAAATCGAATGAGAATAAAAAAAAATTATATTAAAAAATTATTAAAATAAACTACAAAATGTAATTTAACTTATATTATACCATAACATAATGGCATCACAAATCCTGACATAATCTGCTTCTCTTACTGATTTTGTGATGATTTTCTTTGTTGCTGTCGATGTAAAGATTTTTGGTATTCATTTTCATTGTTTAAGAATATGTTAGAATGAGTTTTAAAGCTGATAAATGGGAAAATAACAATTTGTTGCCCTGAAGCAAAATTTGTGTTTGAATTGTTGTAAATGTTAAAATAAACATACATCAAGTGCTTATTTACGTGTTTGTTTTATACGATTCTCAATACAAACATGAAAAAAAAAGAGCACTTTTTTAAGATAAACTTGTGCTTTTTATAATAAAGTTTTCTACAATGAAATTGAAATCCATTTTGCTCCATTGGACTACTTATAATAAAAATAGCTAAGCATTTTCGCAATCTTTAAACCAATTTTTATGAAAGAAAATGAAAAGATAAATAAATTTTTTAATTTGAAAAGAATATTTTTTATTTATATTATTTTTATTTAATACAAGTTATTGAAATTGAAATGAAATGAAAATAGAATTATATTTTTGTAATTGTTAAAAGTGCATTTTTCCAAGCACAAGAAAGCATGTCTCCAACTTAAGGAAAGAACCTTGCAGCCCTATTCCACCATCTTTTCAGTGTGATTAAAGCAAAGAATCATCATCCTAAAACACGAGCATTCTTCACTCACATGCATAATAAAAAGAGCCAAATTAAAAACTTAGTTTAGATTAACAAAAGTTTGGAACTCATAATGGAATCTACATCACAGGTTACACAAGTTCTTCTGTGGGCTGTTATTATAACTTTCATATCTACATCAACTCGCCTTTACTCGTAACTACAATCATGCCCGTTGATTAAAAATAATTTGACCAAATATTCTTTTATGAGAATCTTAATCATAGATGGTTTTTTAATTATATTTTAAATGTTTATCAATTAAATGAAATATAATTGTAATTATTTTAAATATTGACTGGAAAAACCGTGCAATGCTACATACATTACACGAGTAACCTAATTAGTAAATATCAGAACCACAAATTTTCACGAGCTGATTTACTAATTACGAAATATTAATGATCTAACCTAATTAGTACAAAATATTTACAATAAGTATTAATTGGATGATATGCTAAAATAGTTGAGGTATTATTTTGATTCATGTAAATAAATTTTTGCCAGGTAGATGTTTGCTGTTTACCATGCATCTTATACAGCTTCCAGATAAGATTGGTTACAATAAACTCGAATAAGATGAGATGGTTTATATAACACCACTTTAATATTTTACTAAGTTAATCAATTAAAATACATTATGGATATAGTTTTATATTAATTATTATATAAATTAACGATT